TTTACAGCAGTTTTCTGGTAACTGGTGGATGTATTTATTTTAAAACACTCTCTGGCCTTGCCTAGGGAAGAAAGGCCTCCCCTGGTGAACCGAATGGCACAACTCCTTTATGCAAAACTACTCATGGATATTAATTTTTTGGAACATTTCAAGCCCAAGCCCAGCGCTGAGTTCTGCCTGTGAGCACAAGTCTGGTGGTGATTCAGAACCGAGGCATTCACGGGGTGTGACGAGCAGGGCTGTGCCTGGACAAGCACGAGCTGCCCAGGTGCCAAGTGCTTTGGGGAGGCAGAAATGCCGTGGGAGGTCTGGTGTGTCTGTGCAGAGCCCTGGGAGCTCCACACTGGCAGGGGGATGGTGGGTGCCAGGGCTGGAGCCAGCAAACCAAGGGGGTCTGGTTGGACATCAGGAGGAATTTCTTCCTGGAAGGGTGGTCAGGCATGGAAGGGAGGTGGTGGAATTCCCGTCCCTGGAGGGACAAGGTGGGGGTCAGTCACAGGGTGGACTGGATGATCCTGGAGGTCTTTTCCAACCTAAATAATTCTGTGATTCTGCAAGTTGTTCACCGCTGAATTAATGAGGGACAATTAATTCTCATTGCTTATTGTCAATAACAAGTGCAGCGAGCTCTGCCCTGAAGCACCCAGTGGGGTTATTAATGCTGAATATTCAGGCCACGAATACAGATAATTACCCAGGCCCCTCAAAGAGCCCAGAGATGCAAGGGAGCATTCTTTGATCCCAGGGTCTGTGGGAGCAAACAGCACTGCAGTGGGGCTGAAAAGATGTGAGCAGTGAACACTCTGCAGGCACTTTCTCCACCTCCCCCCCAGAACTGTCAGCTGGGTGCTGCAACACTGCATTTCACTTCACTCCGGGCTGTGTTTAGACAAGTAACCTTGTACAGATCAAAGATACATTAAAAAAAATCAGACTCTTTTATTTAGTTGTTATGTAATTAGTGAAAATTTAAGATATTTCAACTGTGAGCACTGAAATGGTTCGGCCATAGCGTGCCACCGACTATAGTAACAGTAAATCAGGGGACTGGGGAGACAGAAAGTGTTTTGCCTTTGCTGCCATAATTCCACCAAATGACCTTTTTGTAGGGCTGCAAGATCGGAAAAAAAAAATATGATGGGAGGGCAGGGCTGATTACATTTATCCTTAACCTTTTGTTAAACCTGAGTAACTTCTTAACAGATCTCATTATTTTTAAGGATCAGCCCCTTAGCATGCCTTCCCTTTCAACCCAGCACTGTCTCTTTTGAAGTCAAATGTTCCAATAAAGATTGCAGGCAGTATCCTATTTCAAAGCCACCTTGTCCTCGAGAACAGGTATTTCTCCCAGGCAAAGAGGGGCATGCAAATGAACGCAGGAAAGGCCTGGCTGCCTTTCCACTGTGTTGCAGACAAGAAACAAGCTGAGCGTTCCATCAACTTAAAAAAAAAAAACAAAAAAGAAAAATCCACGGATAAAAATTGTATGAAATGCGATGGTGCTTTTCATACGTAGTTCGTCAACGTGCAATCCAAGAATGCAAAATTTGGGCACTGCTGTTGATGTGATCCAGCCACGCTCTGGGAGTGGAGGGGCTGAAGTGACACAGGAACCCACATCCTTGCAAAGGAAGCGTAAGTTCACCTTGGTTCAGGTTGATCACAGAGCTCTGGGGGGAGAAATAATCTTTATTGTAAAGTCCCAGTTTTGCTGCTGCAGAAAAAGATGAAAACACACCGACTGCAAACTGTTCCCGTTAGAGATGCTGCACGAGGAGCTTGAGTAAATTAACTCCTCCACTTAACACGGGTTTTATGCAGACACAAGGAAAAAAAAAAAAACAAATTCCTGCTCTTTAATTACCTCCCCTGCATTTTCTCGTGAGGACTTCAGTGCCTACACACACACACACATACAAAACAAGAATGAACAGAACAGCGGGGTTATTTAATAGCTCAAGAAAGGCTCTGGGCTTGGTGTTTTATTTTTCTTGGCCGGTTGACTGAGGCAGCCACAGGATTTCGGGCGGGCTGCAGGCACCAGCATCCCTGGGCCGGAGCAGTTCCATCCTGCCCTGCCTGGCCGGGGACCAGGGCACGGGAGGGGGGGCTCAGGTGTGTTTGGGCCGGGGCGGCGCCTGAGGCGAATCCACACAATATCCCGGCTTGGAAGGGACCCACAAGGGTCCAATCCATCCCAGGACTCCCCGAACCACCCACGGAGCGCGCTGAATTCCGCTCATTTTCGCCCCTCCGCGCCCTGAGGGGCCGCGCCAGGGCAGGGCCCTCCCGGGGCCGTTCGCGCCCGCGGTAACGCCCCGTGAGGGACAACTGGAGGAGGCGGCGGGTTTTAACCCCCCTCAGGGCTCCCCCGGGTCCCCTCGCTGCCCAAACCGCCGCTCCCGGCGGCCGTTCCGTGCTCGGCCGAGGGGCCGCTCCGGGCCCGGCCCCGCCCGCCCCCCCCGCGCTCGGGCCCGGCCGGTGCCCGCGGGCGGTACCGGGCGGTGCCCGCGGCTCTCGCGAGAGCGGGGCGGGGCGGCCCCGGGGCGGGCGGGCAGCGAGGAGGAGGCGGCTCCGGAGCCCGCGGTGCCGCCCGCCTGTCACAGCGCCCGGGCCCCGAGCGCCGCCAGCACCCGGTGAGGGCCCGCGGGCAGCGCCCCCGGCCAGGGGAGAGAAGGGGGGACGGGGGATGGGGGACGGGGGACGGGAACCCGCCCGCCGCGCGGGGCTGCTCCCCGGCACCGGGCGAGGCCGGGCAGCGCCGTTCGGAAGGGGTGGGAGTGCGGCGGGAGCGCGGTGCAGCCCCGCGGGGAGGTGGCGGGGCGGGCGCTGGGCGGCGGGGAGGGGCGCCCCGGGGGCAGCGGCGGGCGTTGTGGCGGCTCCCGCTGCCCGGGCCGGGGCTGCGGAGGAACCGCAGGGCCGCGCCGGGCCGGGCCGGGCCGGGCTGGGCGGGTCCCGCCGGCCGCGCTGGGCCGGTGGCGGGCGGGGGGCGGTGGCTCCATCTCCTCCCTGCCCTCCCCCCCGGGCTCCATGGCCCCCTAGCGCTCCATCACC